TTGTTTTTCTGTTTTCTATCTCATTAGTTTCAGCTCTTGTCCTTATAATTTCTTTTCTTCTAGAGGCAGTAGGATTCTATTGTTCTTTTTCTATTTGATGAAGGTATTGAGTTAGGGCATAGATTCTTCCTCTTACTTTTATATGTGTGTGCCTATTGCTATGAACTGAAAAATATGGACCGCTTTACAAAATTGTGTATCATCCTTGCTTAGGAATCATTTTCATCTTTTCTATATCATTCCAATTTTAGTATATGTGCTGCAGAATCGAGCACTAGGAAATGTTTTGTAAAATTAATTTCTAATATCTACATAGTGTTTGTATTGTGGTTTTACATTAGGTCTGAACCTAGCCTATATTTACATTGTTGTTGTTGTTGTGTACCATAGAGTCTGAACCGACCCATAGCTGACCCTCTATCAGGTTTTCAGAGGTAGTTACTTGCACAGGAGGAGATTGTCCATCCTTCTGCTGTGGAACAGCTAGTGGCCTCAAACTGTGCCTTCAGGGTTGCATCACAGCTTCTTGCCACTAGGCACCAGAGCTTTTTACATTAGAAAAAAGAAACTTTTATCTGTTCTTAGAACTTAAGATATTTTGCCTGTGTGCATGATACTCAGACAAGTGTTAACATTATTGCATGAGTGTATACCGCTTTTTGCATAAAGTAATTGTTACCTCGCCTATTCATGAAGTATGCTATCAGCTGACCTATTTTAGAGAGTGATCTTTCATCAGTGTATGAGCATCGATGGTTATGCTACTTACAAAAGACATACTGTATTCTTCTTATGCTAATAATTGTCAAATTACCTCAAACTAGCACCTGGACTCCTTTTTCTCTGAGTTGATTCTTTACTTTCCAGTAAATACAATGGCCCCTCAAGCCCCTATTTGCTGCAATGGTTTGTATATTATATCTGGGCAATGGTGATAGTGACCACAGTCCCAAAGGAAATTATAGAGGGAAAAGCCAGCTCAGGAGACTGATGCTAGCAGTGGATGACAAGTCAACCATAGAAAACGAAGGGATAGGGACTGTTCCTGCAATTTTAACATTCTTTTTCCAAGTTCTTAAAAGCTTTAAAGGATATGCAATGTCTATGTATTTAGTACTATTGTAACAGATACACCTCACATAGATGGATTTCAAACAAAAATATTTTCTTACAGTTTAGGAGTCTGGAAGCTCAGATTCAGGATGCTGACAGTTGGGGAAGATTTTCTGTCTTAGTAAGCTCTGGAAGCAGGTTCTAGCGTATTTGCTGGGTGATATTCATGTGCCTTGATGTCTCTCTTTTCTCTGTCTCTGCTGACTCTATTGTTTATTTAATCACTTTGTACCTCAAAAGATTTTGACTCAAAGCACATGGGACACGAATTCTGTCTCATTAACATAACAAAGACAATCTATTCTCAAATGGAATTATAATAACCCAAGAGAGCTTGATAGTTTAGCGCATGATTTTAAGGGACATAATTTAATATATTATGTGCTGAGAAAAGGTTTATTTATTTCTTTTGTATCATATATTTTATTTTGAACTTGTCAAATATTTGCATATAGTTTTCCCACTTTGATTTGACAAAACTGGATTATAAAATAGATATGATTTGCTTACCTTAGCAGTAAAGTCATCAAGTCCATTCCAGCTCATAGTGGATAGAGTAGAATTCCATGGTGTCCTAGTAGTTGATAATTTTTTGGCTGTTAATCAAAGGATCTATGGTTTGAACACTTCAGATGCTCCAAAAGAGAAAGATGAGACAGTCTGCTTCCACAAAGATTTACAGTCTTGGATGAAACAACAAAGTAGGTGCTCAATAAATATTCATTGACTGGTGAGAATGATAAAGAGAGTAAATCGAACACCTGACTTTATCTTGTGCCATATTTCCCCTCACAGTGGGATTTCTCAAAGCTAAGAATTCACTCTTGTTGTTTTGCATAATTAATAGTGAATCCTAAGTTATATTATAGTAGTTATTGATTGAGAAAGAATCTTTGCTGATAATATTTTTTTCTTAAATAACCACGTAGTGCACAGTGAAAGAGCACCTAAAAACACTACAAGTCTTTAATACTGTTGATTGCTATTTATTGACCCATGTCATATTTGTCTTCACAGAAATTGGCCCAGTTACAATTACCACTGATCCTAAGAAATTTCAGTTTGAACTCAGAGAACTGTATGTTCAGGTGAGTGTATGCTTTCAATTTTACTTATGGTTTTGTTGGGGGGGGATTAAAAAAATCGTGAAACCGGGCTGATTTTACCTGCTTCTAAATCTGAAATAAGCAATTGCTGACCTATTCGAGCCTCAGTAAATACCATCTGTTTTCCCATCTGAATTCTGTGCCAACTAAGTGATAAATATAGGAGGCAGACCTAATGTTGTCTTTTATTTTTCACCATACTACCTTTTTGCTATCAAGTATAACTAAGATAATTCTGATATGCTGTAATTTAAATCAACCATAATATAATTTTTTCTTACTGTTGTTATGTGCCATCAAATTTAAATCTTCCAGTGGGTTTTCAGAGGCAGTAAATCATATGAGAAGAGATTGCCAATTAAATTATTTAAAAAGACAAAAAGTAAAAGTGAAACATACTGCTATTGAGTTGACTCCAATTCATGGTGACCTCATGTGTTACAAGAGTAGAAATACTCCATAGGTTTCCTTAGCTGTACCCTCTATGGAAGCAGTGAATCACATATTCCTTATAAAATACATAAGAATGTAGTTTATTTCATTTACTTAATAACATTTGGTGGGTTTAAACCATCAGCATTTAGGCTAGAAGCATATTGCAAATTGCTTGTGCTACGCAAGTTATTGTATTTTGCTATTAGAGAAGATTAATAACAATAATTTTATAGTATTCTAAAAACATAAGAACAGGACTTTAAAATA